GGCCTGCGAGACGGCGCCCCAGGCCTCCCGGGCGCCAGATTAGAGCGCCCCCCCAAACCTGGGGCGCAGCGGGGTGGGAGGGCCGAGGTCACCCGGGGAAGATCCCTAGGCGGGGGACCCCGAGAGGCCCTGGTCTGCTCCGCGGGCACCCCCTCGTGCCGGCCCGAGTTGGCCCACGTCCCCCTCGGGCTTTGTCTCCCCGGGACGTGGCGTGCCCAAGGTCGAGCAGAGGGCCTGCATGCGCTGCCAGCTCTCCTTCGGCCCGCGCACGCGTTCCAGCCCCCACCCCATACCAGAGACTGGGGGGGCGCGGGTCAGGAGCGCGTGCCGCCCCTGCTGCCCCAAGCCCTCCCTCTCTTCGGCACAAGAAGGCAGATTCTGCCATGTAGGGTCCTAGTCCTGGGCCGGGCCTGGGCTGGGCTGGGCATGGGCAGGACACAGCCCACCGGACCCCTGCCCCAGGGAGCTCGGGGTCCACAGAGGCGATCAGGGGAGACTGTGGATGTGGGGGACCCAGCTCGGCCCACCGGTCTCCCCGCAGCCTCCGGGGTACACAGCAGGCCCTGCGGAGTTAACCTGGGCACCCCAGGGTTCCCCCTGACCCGGAGGGCTGCTTCCTCCCTGCTGGCAGCCAGGGGCCCTGCGCCTGGGGAGGGTGCTGGGCAGAGGGGCAGGAGCAGGGACCGGACTGCCTGGAGGCCGCCTCCGTGCAATGCGCAGAGCACTGCACTGCTGGCCTGGTTTGGCCATATGGCTGGGACCAACAGCAAGGGTCTGGAGCCTGGAGTTCAAATCCGGGGTCCTCCCCTTCCCGCCCGTGTGAACTTGGAAACTCAGTTCCCCTCCGAGCTTCCTCTTCTGCCTTCCCACAGCATCTCAGTCAGCGTGACCTCCGAGGTGGGTAAGGCTGGCATCTGCTGGGTGCCGGGCATCTGCCAGCTGGGCATAGTGGCACATGCCTATGATACCAGCACTTGGGCGGGCTGAGGCAGGAGGGCCCTGTGTATGCACCCAGCCAGTGCAATTTAGTAAAACCCTATCTCAAAGTTAAAATAAAAGGGGCTGGGGATGCAGCTCAGTGTGAAAGCCCTGGGTTCAATCCCCACTACTGCTAAATACACAAAATAAATTTTAAAATCTCAGCCTCATGCCTTGCCTGCAGGCCTGGTCCCTTGCTCAGACACGCATGGTTGTTCCTGCTGTCGCTGGGACTGGCTCTGGATTCCTCCTGCCCCTGCTTATGGCGTCCTGTTCTATCTGTGCTGGCCAGGAGGGGCCGGCAAGGCATGGCCTGCGTGAGCCCCGCGGGAGGAAGCCGGTCCCTAGAAAGGCTGGCTGGGCCGCTGTGCGCAGGCAGAACCTCTGCCACCCGAAGTCCTCAGGCCTGGAGGCGCAGAGGCCTGCGGAGGCCGCAGCAGCAGTGTGCGTGCTCAGCGCTGCCCTCTGCAGGCGGAATCCGGCATGGCGCGGCTGGGCACTGGGTGGGGGAGGGTTACCGCCCTCCCGCCTCTTGAGTTAATCTTGCTTCCCAGAAGCGCCAGCCAGCCAGCCGCGCCCCCACCGCGCCCAGGAAGCAGTTGGCACAACTGAAGCTTGGGCCTGGCCGGGAGCAGTGGTGCACACCTGTAATTCCAGCATTACGGGAGGCTGAGGCAGGAGGATTGTAAATTCACCCCATCTTGAGCAATTCAGCAGTTTAGCAAGACGCTGTCTCAAAATAAAAAATAAAAAGGGCCTGGGGATATAGCTCAATCCCCCATACTTCAAATAATAATAACAATTAGTAGTATTAGTATGTTTTATTTAACCTGCTACAGCCAAACGTTGTCATTTCAATGTATAATAAAATTGAGATGCTTCACATTCTTTTTCTTACGCTAAGAAATCCAGGATTTTTCATTTTGTTTTGTTTTGATTTTGAGACAGGGTTTTGCTCTGCAGTTCAGGCTGGCCTTGAACTACCTATATAGCCCAGGCTGGCCTCGAACCCGACATGATCCTCCTGCCTCAGCCTCCCAACTGCTGGGATTACAGGTGTGCACCACCACACCTGGCTCCAGGATTTATTTCACATGTATGGCATTTCTCCATTTCTTTTTTTTTTTAATTTCATTTAATTATTTTTTGCAGTATCAGAAACTGAATGTAGGTCTTTTGCAATGGGTTACACCTCCAGCCTTTTTTATTTTTATGTTTAGACAGGTCCTCCCTAAACTTCCCTGGCTGAGGGGGCTGGGGATTTAGCTCAGCAGCACAGCACCTGCCTGGTAAGCACAAGGTCATGAGTTTGATTCCCGGTACTGGAAAAAAACCCCAAAAAAACCAAAAAAAATTTCCCTCGCTGAATCAAACTTGTGATTCTCCTGCCTCAGCCTCCCAGAGTGCTGAGATTGCAGGTGCCCACCTCCACGCCCAGTTTATGGACTCTTAAAACCAGGAGCCCTTTTTTCCCAGTGAAGTCATGTAGAAGTTCAGTTCAGGCAAAAGATGAACCTGGGGTTCCTCTGGAGAAGCAGGAGCACCTCAGCAACCAGATGCTTCAGGCCATCCTCCTCCCCTTTGAGAAGCCTCTTAGACTCCCATCTACACTGAAAATAGTATTAATAATGATCCTAGCATCCATTTAGTGCTTGTTCTAACCCAGGCACAATGCTAATACCCTACAGGTATTATCTCAACTAATCCTACTGAGGGGATGGTAGTAGTCCATTGCTGTAACTAAATGCCTGAGATAATTAACTTGCAAAGAGAAAAGATTTGTTTGGGCTCAGGGTTTTGGAAGTTCCAATCTACAGTCAGGGGTGAGGAGGGGAACAAAGCTACTCGCCTCAGAGCCAGGAAGCAAAGGGGACCAAAGAGGGGATAGACTCCCACAGTCCCCTTCAAAAGAATGTCGCCAGTGACCTGAAGACCTCTCACAGAGGGACCGTGGTGGTGTACAACTGTACTCCCAGCACTCCGGGAGGCTGAGGCAGGAGGATCACAAGTTACAAGCCCAGCCTGGGCAACTTAGCAACTTCAGGAAACCCTGTCTCAAAATTTAAATGTTTTAAAAGGGCTAGGGAGGTAATGCCGTCTGAAGGGCCCCGGATTTAATCCATGACTCTTGTTCCCCAAAACCCTCCGAGCAGGCCCCCACCTCTGTTTATTTATGTGCTTATTTATCTACTTTTGCAGCATGGGGGCTGAACCCAGGGGTGCTCTAATACTGAGCTACCTCCCCAACCCTTTTTATTTCATTCTGAGACGGGAGGATTTCCCTGAGTTGCCCAGGCTGGCCTCGAACTTGTGACCTTCCTGCTCCAGCTCTGCAGTCCTTGTATGTGTGTGTGGGTCCAAGCTGGGAGAGCTCAGCTCGGGTCCCCCAGGGAAGAAGCAGCCCAGGGAGTCTGTTCTGGGACCCTTGGGAGCCCAGCACCCACCCGGCACTGGGGCCAAGGACCAGGGCCAAGCAGGGAACCAGCCACTGTCCTGTGCTTCCTCCCCTTCCTCTGGAGGGACCTGCTGCTACATCCGTGCTCTCCAGCCTCCCCTTGGGGCCCCCTGCAGCCCCCTGCTCTGGCAGGAACCAGCCCTAGGAGGGGTCGGGCCAGTCCTTGAGCCAGCAAGCTTGGTCTTCTAGCAAATACCAGTTGGTACTCTGCTAGGTGAATTTAGTTACAAATTAGGGAAGATTTAGAACAACTTTGGAGCCAGAGAAAGAGACCAGGAGAAGCATCCCAAGTAACTTTCCCAGGAGTGAGGAGAAGGGAAAAGGGTCCACAGCAAGCTTTGGGGGCTTTCGGCTATGTGCCCCAGGCCCTTTGCACTGCCCATCATGGAGCCCCAGCCCCAGCTTCTCAGGCAGCAGGAGGGTGGTGGTGGATAGAGGACACCAAGCAGCCAGGCATCCTGTCCCTGTGAACCACAGCACAGCAAGAAGGGTGTCCATAGCCAGGCATGAAGGGGACACATCTGTAGTTCCTGTACTCCGGGAGGATGAGGCAGTATGATTTCAGGTTCAAACCCAGCCTGGGCAACTTAGCAATTTAATGAGACTCTGTCTCCAATTAAAAATCAAAAGGAGCCAGATGGGGTGGCGCACACCTGTAATACCGGCATTCAGGAAACTGAGGCAGGAGGATCACTGTGAGTTTGAGGCCAGCCTGGGCTACAAAGTGAGCTCAAGGCCAGCCTGAACTGCATAGCAAGAGCCTGTCTCAAAAAGACAAAAAAAAAAAAAAAATCCAAAGGGCTAGGGACGGACTAGGCTCAAATTCACCATCTTCCTGCCTCAGCCTCCCGAGTAGCTGAGAGGACAGGAGGGCACCACCTGGCCTGGCTGCTAAAATATTTATTTCCTCAGGGGCTGGGGATTTAGCTCAGCAGCACAGCGCTTGCCTGGCAAGCGTGAGGTCGTGAGTTCGATTCCCGGTACCGGAAAAAACAAAAAACAAATATTTATTTCCTGTTCCAGGGTTTTCTGCAAACCAGGACTGTACTTCGTCCCCAGCCCCAGGAGGGTCCTGCGGTCTCCCCGCTCCCCGCCGCCCTCCACGCCGTCTCCACCACCAAGGAGGGGTCGGGCCAGGCCTTGAGCCAAGTCGGCTTCTCCTTCATCCCCCGCTGAAAGCCGCCTTTGAACGCTGCCCGCCCGGGCCAGCCCAGCCCCTCTTGCTCTGGCTTCCTGCCTGCACTGGCAGGGCCACCCACCGGCCGGGTGCACAGCCCTGGGCCCCGCCCCACGCTCAGCCCGGAGGAGGAAATTTCATGTTGCTCGACTGATTATTTGATCCCCGACTGACTCACCCGCGGCTGTGGCTTGGATGCGGTGTGAGCGTCCCTTGGGCTTCCCCTGTGTTGAAATCGAAGCCCCATTAGGAGGCCCTGGGAGGTGGACATTTCATCCACTCTGGGGTTCACGCTGGGGCCTTTGGGTGGTGGTCAGGGTTAGAGAAGCTCGTCAGGGTGGAGCTCCTGTGACTGAGCCCTGGCTTTACAAGAAGAGGAACGCGGGCCAAGGTGGCACACGCCTGTAATCCCAACACTCTGGGAGGCCGAGGCAGGAGGATGCCAAGTGACAGCCCAGCCTGAGCAACTGAGTAACTTAGTGAGACCCTGACTCAGAATAAAAATAAGAAAAGGGCTGGGAGCGTAGCTCAGTGTGAAGGCCCGGGGTTCCAGTACTGCAAAGAAAGAAAGAGAAGACCCCGCAGCGCCTCAGGGCTCTGCAGCAGGAAGGCCGTTCCCAGGTGGCCCGGAGCTGTGAGCCAGGGCTACAGGGACCTCCCTTCCGGGCCTCCATGCTTCCCCTGAGCAAGGCAAACCGACTTCCGCCCCATCCCCTAAACCCGGGGAGGGCAGGGGTGAGGTCCACGCGTGCACGCGCATGCACACAGGCTGTCCCGGCACACCGTAGGCCCCAAGCCCCTGCTCCCTGGCCGGCTGCTGGCCGGGCAGATGAAGACAGGGCTCTTCAAAAGCTGCCGCAGAAACCCGCCCGTCTCCATTTTTCTCTCCCTTTCTCGCTGTCTGTTGCTATTATTTGTGTGCGTGTGTGTGTGTGTGTGTGTGTGTGTTACTGGAGATTGAAACCAGGGTCTTTGCACTGAACTATATCCTCAGTCCTTTTTTTTTTTTTTTGAGACAGGGTCTCACTATGTCACTCAGTTGCCCAAGGTGGGCTAGAACATGGGATCCTCCTGCCTCAGCCTCCCAGAGTGCTGGGGTGACAGCCACGCAGGGCGAGCCCCCTGTTGCCCTCTGCCTCTGCAGCCCTCCCCCGCAGGACGGGGTGTGGGGGTTGTTTCCACTCCTGCCCCTGCCTGGGCCTGTCTCTCCCTTCTACTCTCTGGGTCCAGTCCTCGCTCTCCGACTCCGCGTCTGTCTGTCTGTCTGTCTGGTCAGCTATCTACCCACCCCTCAGTGCTCTGGATTTGCTCTCCTGTCTGTCTCTGGCCTCTGTCCCTCCGGGGTGACCCTGAGGGGTCTCACGCCTTTCCCCCCACGCCGGCGGGGTCCGTGCGCAGCTCGCTCCCGCCGTCTCTGCGCCCCTCCCCTGTCCCCGGCTGCCCCCGCCGCCGCCTCCCCTTCCCCTCGGAATCTTCCAGGAACAGAGCCGGCCTGTAATTGAGCTGGGCCGTCTCCACGGCAGCCGGGCGGCGTCGGGAAGATCAATTTGGAGCGCGGCTCCGTGGTGATTGCACCTGAATAGTTTGTGCCGGCAGCGCGGCTCCACGCGAGGCAGCGGGACGGCAGCGGACAGGGGCGGGAAAACCCCCCGGAGCACCGGGACCCCTGGCCTCAGGAGGGGACACGGGGGGGGGGGCGAGCCCTCAGATGCGCGTGCGCCTCCCCGACGGCTCCTGTTTATAATTTATGCTGTGATCGGAATTATCAGCAATAATGATAACGTGATTATAATTGCCGAGCTGCCGGGCTCAACTGCGGCGCTGTCGGTAAACACCGTGACAGAGACGGGCGGGAGGCCGCGGCCACCCAGAGCTTGGGGAGGCCAGGGGGGGGAGGGGGTCCTTGGGGGGGTCTGTACCCCTCCCTGTCAGGCCCCGCCCTGCTCCACAGAAGTTCGGCTTTTTTTTTTTTTTTTTTTTTTTTTTTTTTCCCGGTACCAGGAATCAAGCTCACGACCTTGCACTTGCTAGGCAGGCGCTGTGCCGCTGAGCTAAATCCCCAGCCCCTTTTTTCTTTTTTTAAGATACCGGGGATTGAAGACTTACACCCTCAGCCTTTTTTTCCTTTTATTTTGAGACAGGGTCTCCCCGAGTCTCTAAATTGCTCAATTTGGGTTCCAACTCAAGATCCTCCTGTCTCAGCCTCCCTCCCGTGTGCACCCCCACACCTGGAGATGCATCTGTTCTAACGCCTGCAGGTCCTCCGTGTCTAACCTGAGTCATCCTGCCTCAGCCTCAGCGATGGGCACTGGTCATCTCCACAACTGAGGTCCCCTCGCGCTGGGTCGTGCAGAACTCAGACGCATTCTAAGGCAGGGTGGTGGGGGTGCGCTGGGGCAGGGGCTGAGGCAGGACAGAGCCGCTGCCCAGGCTCAGCTCCAGGGGCTCCCTTCCCGGCCAGGGGCGTGAGGCCCAAGGCGCAAGGTAGGAACCGCGTGAGTAGGCCCATTTAAGGGAGCTCCACCAGAAGCCAGGCTCACACACCTGTAATCCCAGCACTCTGGGAGGCTGAGGCAGGAGGAGCGCAAGTTTAAGCCCAGCCTGGGCAACTTAGCAACTGAGGGAAACTCTGTCTCAAAATTAAAAATGAAATAGGGAGGCTGGGGATGTGGCTGAGTGCAGAGGCCCTGGATTCAACACACACACACACACACACACACACACACACACACACACGGTGAGGGAGATACTGCCAGGGTTCAGGGACCTCACATGAGCCACCACACACAGGCAGAGTTTGCACTGTAACAGCCCACCAGATGTGTAACCTGCCACAGGGCAGTGATACACAGGTCATCCCTCTTGAGGACACCCCCAGATCCAGATCCACGTAAATGCCCAACACCATGCCTGTGTCTCTCTCTTTAGGTTGAACTCTATTATCGCTGAATGTGTACTTCTACATGCTTCCTAGTTGGGCATGGTGGTGCACGCCTGTCATCCCTGCGCTCTGGAAGGCCCAGCTCAGGCAACTTAGTGAGACCCTGCCTCAAAATAAGAAATACAAAGGGCTGGGGATGTAGCTCAGTGCAAAGGCCCTGGGGTCATTTCCCAGGTCAAAAAAAAGTTTTAAAAATAAATGGAAGGGTCATCTGAGCTGGAACCAAAGGGAAGGGGAGGGGAGGAAAAGAGAGAGAGAGAGAGACGTAGAAAGAGAGAAGTGCTTTACCACAGCAGTTAGGGGTGCAAATCTCAGCTCTGCCCTGCTTGCTGTGTGTCTTTGGACAAATAACCTCACCTCTCTGTGCAAGTAGGGGTGGAGGAGAAAGCCACCCAGAGGAGGTGCTGTGAGAAATGAAGAAGCTACTGTGTGCCAGGAAACCAGACTGCGTGTGGCACATAAAAGGTGTAATCAAAGTATACTATAAACGTTAACATTTTTTAAAAAGTATAACAGTAAAGACACATCACCACGGATCCCCTCAGCACCCTCCCCTTTGCCTCAAACACCCCATCCCATCATTCTTGCCTCTTTCTTTCTCTCTTTGAGACAGGGTCTTGCTATGTAGCACAGGCTGGCCTTAAACTCGCAACAATCCTCCTGCCTCAGCCTCCTGAGTGCTTGGATTTATATATATATATATATATATTTTTTTTTTTTTTTGGTATCGGGAATTGAACTCACAACCTCGTGCTTGCCAGGCAGGCGCTGTGCCACTGAGCTATATCCCCAGCCCCGAGTGCTGGGATTATAGGTGTGTGCCACCACACCTGGCTTCACTTTTTGAAATAGTTATTTTCTTTTTTTTTTTTTTGGTACTGGGAATCGAACTCACGACCTTGCGCTTGCCAGGCAGGTACTTGTGCCGCTGAGCTACATCCCCGGCCCATTGAAATAGTTCTGGAAGTCCTCTTTCCTGGGGGTCTTTTCGGGGTGTGATAAAAAATGCAGTGAATAAACTGGGCATGGTGGCACACACCTGTCATCCAGCCTCGGGGAGGCTGAGGCAGGAAGACTGTTCTGTGTTCAAGGCCAGCCCGGACTACGTAGCAAGGCCCTGTCTTAAAAAAACCAAAAACACTGACTGCTGCCGCCGAGTGCCATCCAATGGAAAGCCGGGCTCACAACAACATCAGTGTGTCCTCATCCACCTTATTACCAGATCATGTGACTTCAGGCTCGTCCCCAGAGTCAAAATGGCCATGAAAAGGGAAATGTTTTGAATCAATTCAGGACAGCAAGGCAGCCATAAAGACTCTCCCGAAAGAGGACTCCTGGACCTGCTTCAGAAATGGCAAGGGGGGTGGGATCAGTGTGTCTGAACTGAGGGGAGGGCCCGAAGGGAGATTCGTGACAATGAGTCCTTTACTGTAATAACTCTTTAAAGAATACATGTTCGCCATCTTTTTGATCACAGCCAGCGCAAGGCTCTGATCATTAGGCACGAGGGCCTCTCCAGGGCTCGGCCCCACCCCTGCTGCCTTGGCCCCTAGGGAGCCAGGCTGGGCGGTGGGTCTCAGCGTGGGGACCTGCGGCGGGGCCTCGTGGTCCTGCGAGCTCCGCGGGGGACGGCAGGGGCTCAAGTCCAGGCTGCTGTCAGGGAACCGCGGGGGTCCCTCGCTCGCCAGCTCCTGCCCAGGCTCCCTGAGAGCGACGCTGGCCCTGGAACTCCGTTTGTCCATCCCTGCCCGACCAGCTGGCTGCTTCGAGGGCTTCTGTCACCTCTGACGGCCCAGACGGCCCTGGCCCAGACTCTCGCCACCCCCCAGCAGGGCTCAAGTCCCTGTGCAGCCAGGCAGGCCCACCCAGGGAAGCCCCAGGGAGGCTTGGCCACCAAGATTCATGTCACAGCCGGTCCCCACGCAGGAGGCAGGAGGCAGGAGGCAGGAGGCAGGAGGCA